CTACCACAACAAGTATCGATCGTTAGAAAAAGTTTTCTTATTATTTAAATAAAATTGTACACTATGAATTATTAAAAATTCATGCTTTAGTTTTAATATTATTCCAAAATAATTTAAATAAAAATATTTTTTAAATTTGAAATAAAAAGTATCTAAATGAGGCACTGATTAGCTTAAAAAATTGTATTCTTTAAAATTGTTGTGTGTACTGTTAAAAATCAAAAATGAGTTACGAGTAACTGCACTGTATTCAAAGATTTGCGTAACACATTTTTATTATTTGCCATTGCTAATTCCTTACTTGTTTGTTTGTTATTCAGTACAACATGGTTTACTTTTATCCTTGCTTCAGTTATTCGAATTTATTTCAAAAAATGTGATACTTGTTATTATTACTTTCTCTCTTTTTACTTTAGCTCTCTTTTTACTTTCTTTTTTTAATGAAATTTACTTAAAATATGTAAAGAGTTAAATTATGTTGCTCTGTTAATTCACGGGGATTAATCATTTACGTTGTGCATTGCGCAATTTTTGACGTCATTAGATTGTTTTAATTAAGTTTCAAAGCTTCATTCACTTCATCCTTATACTGATATGAATGGCTGACTGAATTCAAATTCACTAATCTGAAATTCTTCAATATCAGAGGGATAATTACTATACGTAAGTCACTTTGGTGATTATTTCAAATATAAGATTTCTCAAAATTCATTATTATTATTATTATTATTATTGTTACTAATTTCGGAGAATCAGTGTTCAAATTTTGATCTTTTGAAGTATTTTAAATTGACTCTCTTGCAATTAGCACTAGTTTACAGAAAAGTCGAAGGTGGGCATTGTTTCTTTATTGAAATTGCCGCCTTTTTCTTCCCTAAAAACTTCCATTTCTCAGTGTTATGCACAATTATTTGCAAGTGACGCCGTAAATAACTCAAAAAAGAAAGCAATTTCAGTTTTTAATGGTAAAAGAATATCTTTGTTTCCTTCAGAAAGCCACACGATTGCAAAGAGCTTATAGAAAAGTTATTCAACTAATCTCTCTGTGGGAAGTGCGCAGTCTGATATATTTTCTATAGTTCAGAAAATAGTTTACTTTTCATTTTATTATAATTCACTTTATTCTAAAGTGGGCATTCTTGCAATTTATTATTATTATTGAATTTTGATAAAAATTAAATGAAAATCAAATCAAAATACATGTATAACTTTTCTGAAATGAAGTTTATAAATGTATACAATTTCTGATCAAAAAATGGCACAAAAAAGAAAATTAATGCGATTTGCTAAATTTTAACAAAATATAAACTTAATCAGTGAACTGAAAAATTAGTCAAAACAGAAATCTACTGAAGCTTTTTCATGCATCTTTGATTCAGGCGTCGAATTTAACAAGTTCACTTCAGTAAATGTTGGCATAATCTTGCGATAAAATCTTTGCTGGCTCAATTTTGCTAACTGATCGACTTCAATGCTTTACAGTTATTTGAATGAAAATCAGGTAGGAAATATTGATCTGCAATCGTTACTAAAATGCAAATTTGAACATTTTTCGAGGGCAAATTTAAGAAAATCAGTTGATGGTCTTAATTTATCGACGATTTTTGAAATGAAAAATTGAAGAATATATTTAATAATTGTTACTGAGTTTGGTAAAAATTAACATTGCTGAAGGCAAATTATGCAAATGCCATATATTTGTGCAATAATTTACTTTTTATCTTCGTAGCCATTAGTAAATAAACTTTCACTTTCAGATACTCATAAAATTTCTTTGCTAGCTTTGATTGCAGATATTAGCTTGTTTTTTGAAAGATAGACGTTCAGAGGTCAAGTAATAGTCTTGCATTGCTTTTCCTCAGCAATTTTTATTATTTCAGGATGTTGCGGCGCCGATTACTAGAACTCACTTACTGCATATCTTATAATGTAAATTTTCTTCACGATAAAGGTTGGTTGCTTATCAAATAGAATGCTGCAATAATTTCAAGCAATCTCACTTATTTATTCCAGCTATTTTCACTATATTCGGAAAAACTAAAGGAAAAATGATAACTTTCAAATATATATAAATAGGTATTCAAACGACTTTCTCTTTCTTTAATACAAATTTCTTTCTTAATCAAACTTGAAGTCAAAATCAAGATTAGTTTCGGCCTTGGAATTGGATAGGATTATTAAAGTTTCAATCTATCAAATAAAAATTTGTGCAAAAATTATGGAATGAAACTGTTTATTATTAACAGTACATGGAGCAAAACAGTTTCGTAAAAAATACAAGTTGCTTGAAGAACTTGGCCGAGGTGGGTTCGGCATTGTTTATAAAGCTGTACGTAACGAGGATAATGCTCCGGTTGCTGTTAAATTTATTGAACATAAACGAGTGAGAGAGTGGACAGTGGTCAGTTTTTGAATTTGAATCAATCGATTAGTGAGTCATTCAGCCAGTTAGTGGTTTGTCAGTTAGTGAGGTACTTACTCGGTTGAAGAAAATATAAAAGATAAAGGTTAATACTTATATCAAATTTATTTTTTTAATTTGATTTGATTTTTTCCAAAGCATCAAAATAGAATTGTTGAAAAATGAAAAAAAGTTCAATGAAAGTTATTTATTTAATCAGTCTTTTTATTACTCAATCCATTTATCAATCGGTTATTCGATCTTCAATTCAACACATTCCTTGGGGAGTTTGTTAAGTATTTATTAAATGTGCACTGTACCAATTCAAATGTTTGCCTTTACTACTTTGTATTTCCAGACTTGATTTGATTTTCTGGAAAGTTTACATTGGCTGCATGAGGAGTTTCTGTCACAAGTACCAAATTACAGAAATGTAAGCAACTAATTCCGACGGAAATCTGTTTGCTGGATATCTGCCGCAATGTGCCGGGAGTCGTGCGATTACTCGACTGGTTTGCCAAGTGCGTTTATGAATCATTGCGTTATATTTCAAGTATTTTACACGCAATACTTTTATGCATTCATTTCTAACACATAAAACGTTATTGGATTCTGTATTTTGACAATTTTTTGACTTATTTTTTTGTCTTATCTATTTTTTGAAAACAATCTTCAAATGAGATTCATTTTAAGAGAATTACAATTTTAGTCAGTCTTAATTATTCAAAAACTTCACTTTATAATTTCACTACTTCGTAATTAGTATTCATGAATGATTTAATTACTTAACCAATCACTCAATCAATCAGTCGTTAATTATTTTCTCTACGTCATTGTATTACTCTCTTTAATCGCTCCAATAGACTCCTTCCGCAATTAATGAAATCAAAAAAGTTTTAGTATAATTACCGAACATTTTTCTCATACTATTGAAAAATGAAAATAGCTTACAGTTCGAAAGGGTTTTTGATAGTAATGGAACGACCTGAGCAGTGTATGGATCTATTTGACCTGATTTCCATTTATGGATATGTGGACGAAGATATTGCTCGTTCTATTTTTTTACAACTACTAAATACTACGTGTCTTTTGTACAACACACATGGTATATTTCACAGGGATATTAAGGTATACAAGTCAGTATTTGCTTGGATCTGCAACGAATTTGCATTTCACTTTCACTAATGTGTTTCTAAACTACATTTTTTGTAAACGTACATTTTCTAATGTGTTTCTAAACTACATTTTTTCTAAACTACATTTTTTGTAGTTTTGAATTCTACAGTATGCGAGAATTTGCAGGACGAAAATATCATAATTAATATGGATACAGGCGAAGCTACGCTCGTAGACTTTGGAGCAGCAGCACTCATTTCCGAAGCTTGCATTAAGGAGTTTCAAGGTCAAACAGTAAATTTGTGAACTTCATATTCTTTTGCAAATTTAACTTTGTTTAGTAATAAGAAACTTTACTACAATTATGGCCATAATACAAAAACATCGCTTGGGACAGTGTTCCTATTTGATGCATTAAACTTCCATCACGACAAATAATTAATTTATATACCAAAAAACACATAATATTTACTTGAAAATTATCAAAAATAATGCATATATCTTTTTATTATTTAAAAAATTAACCACGTATTACTTAAACAGAAAATAGAATTTGCATATTTTCACTGCGCTTTTTATTACTGTCATTCATTACTTCTCATAATGAATTAATTTTTTAAAAGTGAAAACGATTTTTCATCCAACTTTAGGTACACGTTCATACTGTCCCCCTGAATGGTTCAAACGTCTGGCTTATATGCCATTAGAGGCTACGGTATGGTCACTGGGAATAGTACTGTATGTGATGGTTTCAGGGCGTTTACCATTCCAAAATGAAATACAGATATGCTTAGGCAGATTGATTATTCCAAAACATATCTCAAAAGGTCAGTTCTCCATTATTTTTTGGTTGCAAAATTGACGCACCAGAAATAATCAGGACATTCACTGCTAATCATTGCTATAAATTTGACAAAGAGGGCACTTAGATTCCAAGCTGCTTTCATTTTGATCGAAAAAAGGAAATGAGAATTTTTTAAACGATTAATTTTTTTTGTACGAATGTGATCGAAACTTTAGATTGCGAGCATTTGCTTCGTCAATGTCTTGCAGTAACGCCATCAAGACGACCGAATTTGATGGCAATTTGCAGTCATCGATGGTTGAATCAACCTGTTGTTGAACATACTGATTCTTTTAAAACAGTCCTTCAACGGAATCTTCAAAAGCGACGTCAAGATAGATTGTCTAGATGCAAAGAAAGTGCTGAAAATGCAATTAAAAATAACGATGGCAACAAGTTGGAAGCAAAAGATTATCCGTCAACCAGAATCAAAAGATCCAGCAGCGATATTCTCAATGATGCCCGTTCCATAACGTAACCTTCAGCTTTCGATTTAATAAAGTTACAGTTGCAGTTCTATCTCAATGATATGCACCTAATATGCATTTTTCGTTCACTAAAAAACGCTTTCTTCTTTGCATCAAAATTCATACTTTGTTTATTGACAAATACCAGAATTAAAGATTTTTTAGGCCACTTCTACCTCACATAAACAATGTATGGAATTCAGAACTGCTAAAGAAGCATCGCCGTCATTCGAGGTATCTAGAACTTACTAAGAATTTCAAATACACAAGATAATTTTTCATAAACGCTTGTAAGTTTTAAATAATCATATTTAATTATTGACATTTTTTGTGTGAGATTCATTTCAGCTATGATAATATCGTGATGAGTATACGTACTGATATGTTCGCTTTACGCGATTGTTACGATACCGATAATAATGTGTTGATCAGTCCTAGTTCTATTGAGGAGGAATCTTCTAAATCATGGAAACATGTTGATTCTTCATTCTGCTCGATAAGTGAATCATTCTCGATGATTAGTGCTGATCGACAGAACTCAGAATCTTATGCAACGGCATTAGAAGACATAAAGTAGTTTTGTTATCAAAGATTTCAGTACAAACTGACCAATCATAAACTACTCATCTTTTCAGAGAATCTTTAAATGGAGAATCAAAAGAAACAGCACAAAGTTTACCACTTACTGCAAAGAGCAATTTGAACAAAGAAGGAGTTGTACAAGTAAATGGTCCAGATAGGCCTGAGAACTGTAATCCAAGTAAGAAAGTAATGAATTCCCGATTAGTAGCGAAGCACTGGCCACATAAAACTATGCTCTCGTCAAAATACAGACCTTTGAAGTTACAACGGTCGACCCCATTGCCAGCTGACGAACAATGCAAAATTGAAAGTAAATGTGCGGGAATTGTTAGAGCTAAGCCTTAGTGCACTCAATCACTGCTCCTAGCGTTATCGTTGCTTTTTCAAAGAGATGCAATCCGAGCGGAAATTAGTGATGGAAATTATTATGCTTGTTTAAATCAATACAATAATAAATAATTATAAATGTTTACAACTTTTGTAATTATGTGTGTGATTTTTGATGCTTAATAAAGTATGAAATAATAAGTGATGATTGCTTTTGCGCCCGTTTATTTGCTTCATAAATTGAACGACTAACGAAGGTAGTTAGACACTGCTGAATTCAAATAAAATTCCAAAAATTTCTGTGGGATTCTTCAAGGTCGCAACATACTGGAGCGATATCGTGACTCTGAGATGTGACGTTTACACTCCATGCTCATATTCTGAATAGAAAATAATTCTATTATTTTAATTTGTTACGTTAAAGTTTTTTATTTCATGTGGTAAGATCAATTTGCAATGCCTGAAACTTAACTTATCTAAAGTATCTCTAAATGTGACACGAAATCAACACTTGTTAGTTAATAAAATTTCAGCTGCCAAAGACAAAATGAACTGCCATCTCTGCCAAATTTTCTCTTACTGACCTTTGATACTGGCAGTAGTCCAAATGAAAAGCAAAATTAAGATATCATCATGCCCTGCTCAGAGAGACCTCCCGCTGTGAAATAACACAAAAATCATTTATCTATTTATGAATTCTGATATTACTGTCATTCTTCAAAATGAAATAATGTCATTGGTGAAATTCATTTATTTATAAATAGCAGTAGTCGAGTTGTATTTCTTAACGAAAATCTAATAAACTTACTGTATATGGTAAGTAATTTATTAGACAAATTGTCTTTGTAATGAAATTTTTTGGCGCATTAATTTTGAATTTTAATTACTCTTCAGTCTAGAGTACATTGATCTCCTCGGGCAGTTGCTCTAACTTTTATATATCTTAGTAATTAACTTGAATAAAAAGTGGTTCAAATACATAACTTACTTTGCTGACAATATTAGTACGAATTAATCTTCCATGAGAGTACTGTAATGGCCTGAAATTTGGAGCCACATATTGAGGTTCTTTTTCTTCTGCAACAGTTCGTTGTAATTTCCGCCATCTATTTAACTGCAAAAATGATATGTACAGCTGCTTTGGATTCTTAAATTTTTATATTTAAGTCATTATTTTATTTCTATGAAAAGTTTACGTCCTTTCGAGTTATATATATTGGATGATTGAGTATGATCCACGTGACTGTCTCGTAGCATCCAGGTGACGTCATTGACCCTTCGTATGTGATGTAATCTGTCAAATTAGGGAATAATTTCCAAACTTTCAAGTCATTCATTGTAACTCGTTTTTCTAAAACTTGAAAACTTTTATCATTATCATGACAAAAAGTCAAAAAATAATCAAGATAAAAGTTAAATCATTAGATACTGTGCTAAGCAATTTTCTGAAATTTTGATAGTAATCACAAATTTGAGTGCATACTTTTGAAAGGCACTTTTTCAATAAAATTGGTTATTTTTAGTAGTTCTTCACTGGTTTCTTCGCCGAGCTGAAATCTGTCTACGTGTACAAGGTCACGATTAGAAGGTTATTTGATCATCAAAGTGCAATGGTACACTTTTACGTCACACTTTTACGTCATCAGTTATTTTGCAACAAATAATATCAGATATGGAAAAAATGGCATAATTATCCTGATATTTTTTTAATCATTATCATGACATTCTCGTCTTGAAAGAGACTTTACTCATCTTATCTTAATTTTTATCTCTACTGGTGATAGAGGTGATAAATTTCTTACGAAAATAAAAATAAGTCATTATCAAGTTTAAAACTAAGTGGTGATGTAATTTAATCATCATTCAAAACTGAGAGAAAAGAATGAGAATCAAAGTCGGACGTGAAAATGATGAAAACTTGCTATAAAAAGTATTGAAAATAACCAAAACAATAATCGAAATAGCTGCTATTCCCCGCGGTAATGTAAGTGACGCTGTAAAATTTGCGTATAAATCGCTATTGTACGTGATTAGTTGAATCTAAAGAAAAGAAGTATTTCATAGTCTGCAATGCACGAACATCTATTATTTTGAGCAATTTTAATTGCCTTCAGACCAGAGAAATCTTCGTTTTTTGATCTCTGAGTCAATTTATCATCCAAAATTGCTGTTTGTTGCGAAGATAATTTCTCAGGAAATTTTATGGCAATCAAAATTAAAAAAGTATTGCCTCCATAGGAAAGTTTTTGGAATTGATGGCATGCTCTGAGCCAGTTGCTTCATCGTTTGAGTAATGAAAGTCAATCCTTTGCAAGCGATACTTATAAGGTTTCACTGGTCCGCCACTAATATTTAGTATTCGAGAATTGCCATCATAAAGTAAGCGTAATCGAGGCATTTGGCCAATATTTATCATTTCAGCAGTTGTCTGAGAATGAATAATTTTGTATTTCATGTGAATTAACAAAGTGAAGAAAGAAAATTCAGCAAATTTAAAAAATGACTATTTTATTTGCCGCCTTTACATTAATTAAACTAATTAATTGATTTTACATGCAAAAAAAAATGTTCTTATTATTATCAAAAGAATGTCAACGTATGATATTTCATCTTGCAACTGCTTATTACATACATAAAATTTTTTTAGCAGTAAGCGAAAAACAACAAATTTGTCTCCAACTTGAAGGTCATTTGGGTTTTGAAAAGTTCACCTCTAATAGAAAAACAGCGCACAAAATTGCTAAAAATTTAGCATAATTTTTACGAACTATAAACGATGAAAAGTTATCATTTAAAAGCTAAAAAAGTTACGTAAGAAATGGAAACTTTTCAATTCACTTTCGAAGATAAAGGAATACTTTTGTAAAAATTTGAAGAATAACTTACCCTAATCTGACTTATTTTTACGTCACTGAGCCTAGGATCGTATAATATGGATGATGGTACTATATCGATTGGTGACTGCATCTTGCCTTTTGCACACATTTCCCATTTTTTGCTTAGTAAACCCCAAAAGTCAGGTCCTAAACGTTCAAATTCTTCAGGGTGTTAAAACTTTTAAGCATGTGAAATAGTAAATTGCTCAAAGTGATAAATTTTTATCAAAGATTACCTCCGAGAAGGTCATTGTCATAAGTCCAAGGATAATCGTAAGCTCGCAATGCTTGTAATCGCGGATAATTTGTCATCGATAGGAAGAAAATTATGTACATAATAGCCATCGAACCTTTTTATCATCATTTAACAGTTAATTGATATATATTACATTAACATTGCATTTTTTTAAATACTTTCAATTAGTTCAGAAGAAGAAATAATTTCAAATGATAAATATCATTTTGGCAGAAAAAAGTTTTATTGCAATGAAAATTGGAAACAGAATATCTCCACTAAAATATTTACATAGTTAGTAAACTTGGCTCAAAATTATTCTTATACTAGATTACTGTGAACTTTTTCATTAGAAATGTATTATCGATATTTGCTGTATTTGTTTCTATTACAGTTTACGGTAAAACAAAGGAACGAAATGCAAAAATAAATGTAATCATCATATGCAGTTTGTGTATTACAGCACTTTCACTTATATTAGTCTTGAAAAACAATTAAAATTCCAGGGTCTAGAAAGATAAAGTAAGTCATTGGTTCAAAAAATCAAAGTTAGATGAACGAAAATAGATTCATTTACTCCATTTGAATCCAAATGGTAATATCAAAAGCAAACAGATAAAACTCAATCTTGCCTCCTTCCATTTTGTTTACTTTTTAAGAAATTTTTCGTGTTTATTTATTTTGAAGAGAATCAAAGAGTTATTACTACTCACCAATAACAGAAGTAAATGAATTGTCAACGGCTTCACTTAAATTTATTTTGTAACTCTTTCACAGCACTATTTGAGCGACAAAAATTACTAATTAGCTCTCATCTACTACAGTGCATTCCGTACAATCCTTCATAAATAAGTATTAGTAATAGTTTGATTTCAACAAAATCTTGACAAATTTGTAAACTTCACAAAATTTTTCAGAATTAATTCAAAATTGGAATTATTTTTTCAAGCAAATGACAGCATTAATAAGCTATCATTTTATCTTAGCAATAAAATGATAGGAGTTCTTTGCAGTAAAAATATATGAAATTGAAATTTTCATTATGAAAAAGTATGCATTATAACAAAATAAAATTTCAAATAAATTATTGCGAATTGTGAGGAAATAAAAAACAATCCCTAAATTAAAATTTCGATATTTCAGAAATTTGCAATAGAATTAACGCTATTTTTGGCTGATGTACAAATATCACCTAAATAATGTATTCCCTCTCATGAAGCACTCTATCAGGCAATAGTAATTGTGAAAAAATGAAAAGAGAACTAAAAATTATTAATCATTCAAAATTGGGTGGGAACAAACTCATTTTATGCTCAAGGGAATTTTCCCAAAGTAATTCGATTAGTTTCTAATGAGATTATATTTTATTACTGAGTAAACAGCGAAAGCGCACGTAGTACTAAAAGTTAGAAGTTTACAACGTTTTCAAGCATTTCAAAAAATTATCAATTTTCATATTGGAAATGCATTAAAACTGAAATGTAGATAGCTTGTTAAATCCTCCTTTATATTATTATTATGCACTTCTTATTTACTATTTTTTTGTATAATTACTACTTTTCTTAGTTAATTTGAATAATTCTGAGTAGTAGCTAAATGATCTGCGTAATTACTTACCGCATGCTTAAATAAATCTATGCAAAGGAATATAAAAATTTATTATAATGATGTATTAGTTACTCAAACACTGAAGTTATTAAATGAAACGCATAATATCAACAATTCGAGTTAGTGAAGTAAAAATAGGATGCTGCCATAAAATTAAAGCATAATTACTGAAATTAAAGCACAAAGAATTTGGCTTACTTATAATAAACAAAAATAACGTCATTTCAGAAAAAAAATTAACCAGTATTAACTTTTATCAAAATTTATCCGCACAAGAAGTTGTCTCCAAATTTTAAAACTCGACGCGAAATTAGACTCTTTAAACTGAATTAGATTTACTTTTAATAATGCACTGAAAAGATATGACTAGAATTTTTGATTAAAAAGTGAGTTCTGTTTGAAACCCATTATTTTCCATAAAAAAGTCTTGAAGGAAATGTGATCTTTTCAAATTTTCCACCAGCATTTCTAAAGTAAATCATTTTAATTTAGACCACTTTTTTTTGCAATTTAAAGCAATTCCTCTCTTTAAAACCTTTATATATATGCATATATATATCAGTTTTCAATATTTTATTTTATTTTTCATAATTGAAATATTTGTTGTTATTATTCATGAAAATAAGGGGCATAAATTAAGTTTCACCTTTTCTAAGTATTTAAATAGTGCTTTTTATTAAACGTATTTCTAAATAATTTAATTCAATTAATAGTTATTGTTTAAAAAATCGGACTTTTTTAAATACATTGAAAAAAATATAAAAGCACATAACTAATTTCCTATTTTATGAATTTTTAAAGTACATCAGTAACCTTTAGCAGAAAAAAATTAAGGTGTAGATTGTTTTTGAGACCTTTAAGTCCGATTCTTTAAAATTTTCTTGCTTATTAATGTAAATGACAAATTTGTCAAGATATTAAGCAGCCCCTAAATAGTTATTACTTAAGTCAAAATTAACTTGGCTTCGATGCAAGAAACAAAAATTCAAGGAATAATTATGGTAACAATTATTGAAAAAATATTATCTGAATTTACGATAAAAATATTATGATTGAAAGAGACTGGATAATTCAAATAATCAAATTCAAGACAAATTAATTTCCTCATTGCTTTTTAGTAATTCAATACTAATCTAACCACTAATTACTAATAACACTTCCGTAATAATAGTCATGTATTGAATAATTATACTTCACTATTAATTTATGAATAAAAATGCTTCTTAATGAAATTTGAGAAACTTTTGATTACAATTAACAAAAATTTTGATTTCTTCCAGAGCTATGACTGGAAGATTCTGGCTACGATGACTCAAAAAATGAGCAACAAATTAAAAACAAAAATCATCAAATAAAGAAGAAAACAAAAGTGGCGAGAACAAATTGAGAAAATTAAAATACTTGAAAAGACAAATCGAGCAAAGTAAATTGTAGCTAGAATGAAATATAGTGTTTGAAAAAAGCAGTAAGATCGAGCAACAAGCTCGGTCTTATTTCAATCTTAGCATGAATAGTTTGGTTGAAATGAAAAATAAATAGTTCTAACAGCTTTCACGCGACTCTTCAGAAAATATTCTTCATGGTCTTATCTAATCTTAGCATTCAAAACAATCAAAGCTAAAATATGATTCAATCTACTATTTTCTTTTTATACTTAAAAACTTAAAGTCTTACTAGCTGAGTTCACGAGTGGCAAGTGTGATAAATAACGCTACATACAATAACATTATACTATAAGGTAGCTAAAGTAAGGAAAGCTTTTAACGATGCCAATTGATGCGAAAATTAGGAATTAGAATTACTTCTTGAAATGCATACAAATTCTTTCAAGTAAGTCTACTCAAGCTTATCTTGAATTGCTTTGCAGAAAGTAAAATGAAAAAAATTGCGGGAAAAAATCTCCAAAACTAGTACAAGCAGTAAATAACAGATAATAAAAAAATAGCTAAATAGTTATTTTGAAGGTTAATAGTTTATGAAGTAAAAGCAAGTTCAACGAAAATCTAAACAATAAATTTCAACTTTGAACTGCAAAAAAAATCTTCCACTAATCAAGAAATTCTTGTCTTTTCCAGCTAAATAATGACTGTAAGATAGAAAATACTTTCAAAACAGTAATTCTCATTTTCGAGAATAATGCACTTCTCTATACTATGAGCATTAATTAGTTCATTTTTCAAATAAGCATTTGGCAGTGAAAGTATTTCAAAGGCTCATCCATTGTTGCAGTGCTACTCAGCTTTAAAAAATTAAATTTGTTTTCAAAACTGTCAATTTTAGAGTGAATTTCGTTCACGTTTCTTTCACAGATATTGTGTAAACAAAGTACACATTAATTAATATTTAATGGGCACATTACGTGTAAGTACTCATTCTTGTGTTTCAAAGATCACAAGAATGAGACTTAAAGTTTGGTAGATTTGTTCATTCATTAGTCTACTACCAAGGACTGAAATGTTGCATATGGAAACAAGTATTTTATTGTCTGTAATTCACAACTTTTCTGATTTCTCGTTCTCAAATATCAAAAATACTTGCTGAAAGCAATATGTTGCAGTTACTGATGCTTTTATATTTTGACATGCAATACTTATCCTTCAATACATTCATTTTTTAATAGAGATCATTTATGGTAAATATATTTATAATAATAAAATTATCTAAATTCAATAAATGTATTGTATTTTTATATTTTGCTGTTTTAAATTTTAAAATTTGTGGAAGAATTTTTCAGCATTTTTTTTCTGAAACATTCTCATTCTTGATAATTAATTATTTTGATTTGTTCGATGATGTTTGAAATTGTAATTATTTTTCAGTCAATTAATGTGGAGAAAAAAGCCAAGTTGAAGACTAATCACTGTTTAGAATACTGAACTTATTACTGCTAAAATCTCAAACAGCTGAAACAAAGTAATTCATCTAATCTAAAGACGATATTGTGGAAGAAACAACGTCAAGTTTCATTGATTTCGTGCGTAAGCTAAAGCATTAGCTAATTTATACAAATATATCTAAATTTGGGATAAATTTTGTTTGTGAGTAAATTTTAAAAAAATAAATTTTAATTTTTTAACAGAAATGTGATAAAATTGGCAACTTTGTAAGTGAGTTTGAAAGCAATTAGTCAAGTTCAAATTAAAACTCAACCTCTGTGCTGAAAAATTTTTCAAACTTTTAAAAAGTGTACATCGTACTTTAATTATTTCACAAATATTCTGTAGTAACTGATATTAAAAAAAATATTGATATAAAACAGCAAATATAAATTCACTGAATTTTATATTTAGTTAAATTATTTTGAACGAAATAGTATTTTGAACTATTTCAAAACCTTTTTTGAAAATTTTTGTGGCATATCTGTAGAATAATTAAAAGCTATGAAAGAACAGAAAAAATAAAGAAGGTTTTCTTAAAAAGCAAATTTTTGTTTAGAAGTTCTGAAAAATACAAAATTCATAAATTAAACTAATAGAAGAGAGCAATTAGCTCAAAATTATAA